TTCTGACATAACTAACTCATCATCTTACAGTGGTAAAAGTCTCAGAAAAAAATCAATGTTGAAAAATATTTAGGTGAACATCCTTAAGTGAAAACTAGGATTGGCAAGGCATTAGCAGCATTCAATAAACTGAAAAAGGTATGGAACTCCAGATAAATTGGCACATCCACCAAGGTATGTTTGTTTAACTCAAACGTTAAGCGGGTATTGTTTTATGGAGCAGAAACGCGGCAGACAACCAAGACATCTACGAAGAGGATCCAGAGCTTCATCAATAAGTGCTTATGTAGAATCCTAAGAATACACTGGCCAGAAAACCTATGGGCAAGGGAGATGGAGATGGCTTGGCCATACACTATGCACACCATCTAGTAGCATTGGCTATCAAGCCCTGAACTGCAACCCCCAAGGTCAAAGAGAGAGAGGGAGACCACGGAACACCTGGTAATTGGAGATGGAAAAGGAAATCAAAAGGACTGGACACACTTGGAAAAAACTTGTCTACGAAAGGATAGCTCAGGACTGAGAAGAATGGTGGAATATTGTTGGTAACCTATGCTTCAGAAGGAGCACTGGGCCAAAGTAAGTAAGTAAACCATCTTACGGCAGCTCAAAACAGTTTCCAACACTTTCCAAGACTTAGATTTTGATGAGTCATTATAATAACTGTTTATTAGTTTATAATGCAAATATCATGATACCAAAAAGCTGCCCAATTATTGGTAAACACATTGTTGTCATTTTCGCGACACAACAGGTTACCATAGCAATAGTCTGACCAGCTTAAAACACCTTTTAATTCTAGCTTCAACTACTAATAACTAAAAAACGAGCTCAGTGACCCCACTTTTTGTTCTTGAATTTTGATTAGCAGGATAAGCTGCAACTTTTGGCAAAATTAAAAAAATTCTGCACATGGGGTTCAGGGCCACTCTAAATTTTAGAAAATTTAAAGTGTCGGAAACTGTTACTCCTATGTTTTATTTTACCAACTGGAAGTAGCAAGTCTATTCAACTTGTGATTAGTTTCTGGTTGTGTGCAAAGCTATTTAGATAGTACAGTCAAACCCCTTTTAAGCGGCCACCTATTAAACGGCCACCCCTATTAGGTGGCCAGTAATCAAAGTCCTGATGAGGGCTTTCCTTTTGTTTTTACCTCTATTAAGTGACCAACCCCCTTTAAGTGGCCACTATCCATTTCCCCGAGGGTGGCTGTTTAATAGGGGTTGAGCTGTATTTTCACCAACCCTGAGGTGAGCTACCACAGATGCTGCTGGTGTCATTGTGACAGTTTTTTTCATTGAAAATAAAGCAATCACCAGTTGCTATGTAGTATGAAGACAAATATGCGTGCTTTTGTGTGTGTAAAGGCAAATTCTAAGAAAATCTGGGAATATTTATCATTCTCTTTTAGAAAAAAATTCTTATGTCAACATTTTTTTCCCAAAATAATCAAGGCTAATTTTCACTCAAAAAGGAGTGGCTACCTCCAGTTTTATTTCTAGATTTCAATAGCCCTTGATGAGATCTTCTTTTTACACCTAGTCCTAATTCGGGAAAAGACCGTTGTATTTACAGAGTAGCAGACATTGTCCTTGAGGTTAGACAGTGTGTATTAGGTTGGAACGCTGAGTTAGCTATAGGGGATGAAAATCTAGGTCATGCATATTGTTTAAGACTAAGATATCATTAAAAAGACCCAGCAGAGATGAAGATCTGTTGAATTTCATCTATTAAAACCAATTAATGACAATCAATAACTTATCATTCATTAATGATTAAGCTTACACTTAGCAGCTTCGTCAGGAATGAAAAAAACACTATATCTGATACAAATTTGCTTAAAACATGCATTACAGAACTTCTCTCGAGGCTGAGTATTCACTCGTTATTCCCTTCAATTCATCTCTGTTCCTTTCCTGTTAGAATTTCGTTTGATAAACGACGAAAACTTTCAAAATGGCGTCTAACGTAGCTCGAGCAGCTCCAACGAAACAGGAAAAAGTAAACAGGATTTTTTTTCTTTACATAGAACACAATACATATAAATCGTGCTACTTTAAATAGAATCAACCTTCACTGTACATTTTTCTGTCTAACCTGGTGGAGCCTTGGACATTGTGCTTTTTAACTTTGCAGATTGGCAACGATGAAACAATCAAAACCTCTCAAACCTGTAGTCAAACCTTAGTCGAACCAAAGGCCTAAAAACTGAGAGAGGACTGGGTGAGCTCTGCTTTGGACCCCCCGCAGAGGTCCCCAAACAAATCCTTGTTTTGAATCCGGGATATTTTGCTCAACCTCAGCTGGGTTTGGCCACATGTTTTGGAAAGACGGGAAGCTCAGTAGTAAACACTTTGGAAGAGAACGAAAATTCATTATCCTTCACCCGTAAGCCTTTCTTCCAAATAGTGTCCTTGAACAAGGCAGCGGAAGGCTTAACATCAGTGGACTTGTGCAAAAAATCTCAAATGACATCGTGCAACTGACTGTGGGCTTTTTTACGCCTTGTGTGGTGCGCTGGCATTTTACTATTTTAGGAATTTTACTATTCTCAAGGTGAGCATGTCTATCATTTATTTATTTATTTATTTGTTTAAGAAAAAACTACGTTTCTCGGTCTTTGTACGCTCGTGGGCTGTGCGTTTGAATCCGGTGGATGATTTCTCGGCTAATCTTCAGAATACCTGACCACTTAATTTGCATCTTCAGATACACTGTAGTTGCTCGTGCAGTCTGTAGCTGCTCGTGCAGTCTGTAGCTGCCCGTGCAGTCTGTAGCTGCTTCCATGTTTCAATGTGAAAGTGAGTGGTAGGGAGGGGAAAGCAGTCACTGCAACAGAGGAGAAATACCTTGAAAATTAGGTAATTTCAAGAGCCCCGGGCTACTCCCTTGAAAGAAGAATTAAAAAGATGGGTGTCTGGAGGGGGCAAGTGATGGCAACTGTTGATTTGTGCACTGACGCCTTATATGTCTCTTTGCGAGTTAATCCGATCCTAGGATTGTATTACCATTAGCTAGGTGTGCCCTTGGAAGATTTCTACGAGTATTGTACAATTTTCAAAGGGTAGCAATCCCTAAGACAAGTGTTAAGTGTGTGTGTGTTAAATACCTTTGGGAGACAATATGAAAGAGCAACATCAGTGTTAGGAAACAATCAACGTTTTAGTACATTTTTGATCAACCTCTGTATTGAGCGACCCAAAGTTTTGGCATTTTTTTTTTAAATAACGTAGTTAAACCACTTTTCACTCTAAATAATTCTTTTAATCTGAAAAATGAGCATAGTAAAAGCAATAGAGAAAAACAGGAACATTTTTTACAGTATATTGTGCATTTTGTTAATCCAAATATGTAAATATTAACTTTTGACGCCATCCTCATCGCCAACTCAGTGTAAAAAATTCCAGTATGTCTCTGTCCAGGAAAGCATTCAAGACTTAACCGGTTGCAGAGGGCATCAAAAGAATTCTTTTTGTTGACTTGTGGAGGGAGCTCTTTCACGAGGGCAGCAGTCATCGTCACCTGAAACACACTTTGTTTTGGTGGTGGCTGTTCTTCATGTTGTTCCTGCTCTTTGATACAATATTCGACGAAGTTGGATCCAGTAATGTGAAGTTTACCAATCGAGTCATTCAGTCTCACATCTATGAAGTCTGTAGGTAATTGCTCACCATGTTTCTTAAAACCAGCCTGGCACGAAGCCGTAACATTTGATATATCCGGGACTTCCTTTTCAAGCAGTTGCTGAAAAGTGAGGGATGTTGGTATGTTGCATAGGAGATTTGGTGGTTGATCCTTTTTCCCACATTGTGACAGTCTTAATTTTACAATAACATCAACCAACTTTTCCACCATATTGATTTTGGGTTCATGTCTTGTTGTTTCCAGGCTCCACAGCAATGATGCTGGGGTACCAGGCCTCCTATTCAGCAACTGGCAATTTTTTTAACTCAGGTTTTTTTTAATCTGACCGACTGACCCAATATAAGGAAATGCATTCAACGCTAAACGGAAAAAAAAAGCGATGCCTTAAGACGCCCTAAAAGGTTTTTAGTTATACTATATAAAAGTCTTTTTTCAATAGCTGTCCAAGATATTTAAGTTTACTCTGCACTCTACAACCCATAGTCAACTTAAGGCCTGCATTCTTTTTCATATTTAGCTGCTAAATTATGGAACTCTCTTCCGGACCTGCTCAGAACTTCTACTTTTATGGACTTTAAGCGAAAAATATTACAGTTTGACTCTTATCAGTAGCATTGCAACTTGTATCTAGTTTTATTATGTACATAGTTTAGCACATTTATAATTTTTTAGTATATATATTGTTAACAACTGCATTGCAAAAATGGAGGTTGGGTGCCTGAGACATCCAGGAGCTTCCACTATTGGCAGCCAGCTCCTAGATGAAGACTGCTACCTTGACTGGCAAATCCTGGCAACCCAGCCATGAGCCCCCACGCAGTAAGAGGAACAGGCACCCGTCACACTGTTGAAACAGTGGAAAGAGGGAGGGAAAGGGGTAGGTGGGGAACTGCCCTGGTGATGAGCTGCCACACTACAAAAAACGTCAGAAAACGCCTCCTGTATGTACACCAGGCTACGATCCATGAGCATGTAGAATTGCGACACATGCGCATCTGTGTCAACAGCGCTGACTACCAGGGGAACGCAAGCGCTCTTTGTTATTAAGTCTGGTAAATTGCATTTATCTGCCTTATAAGTATAGTATTTTGTGTTCTCGATGATATTAGCTAATTTTGGCCACCTAAAAAAATGTGTGTTTGTATGTATGTATGTATGAATGTTGCATCACATTTTATACATTTAAAGGTAACTAATATTACTGTAACTATATTTGTCAGCTAATGCTAAATGGTATACAGTCCAGAGCATTTCTGCTTTTGGAAATGTTTTGGTCTGCAGACCAAAACAAACAGTCTAATCAGGGTGTGAATTTGGAGTCACGTGATGTGAGGCCTATATTATGTTGCCATTATCTGACTGTGTAACTGTGGAGCAAGTGAAAACGAAGCTATTCTCATCAGTATTGAACTGTAACAATCCAACAGGCCTATTTACGTTTATTACTGGCTGGGATTAAATGCTTGCAGAAAGACACACGTAGCTTTGACATCTCCTAGTAGAAGTTGCGACGAAACTTGCATTTCTCTTCTGGTGGCAGCGCGTGTTATCAGTTCATAGCAGCTCGAGTTGTCTCATTTGCAATTATATAAAGCAAACCTTTGTGAAGACTGTACTGTGATCACAGCAATCCATATTCATTTTATTACTGGCCAAGATCAAAAGCTTGCAGATGGGACAGAAATGTCTTTGAATATCCTTTAGCCAGGAATGAGTTTGAATTAGTGCTAATGTATTTTCATTTCATTTCATTTTCATTTTATTTATTTATTCCATTCTAAAATTACAAAGATAAATATAAAGTAGACAAGTAAGAGGAGAAATGGAAAAGGGCAAAAATCTAGCAAGCTAATTAGATGCCCTTGTTTAATTGACAATAATAATTAGGGTAAAAAAGTTAACTTAACATAGGGGAGGAAGAGGTATGAATTAATTAATACTGAGCAAAATAATACTGGAAGAGTGCTTTTTTAAAACGTTTTCTAGTCGCTAAGTTACGTATAGATAAAGGA